GGAATTTTTTTTTTCCTTTTTGAATTGGATAAAGTAATTGAACATCTGAAATGCCTTTTCAGCTGTTATACCTGATCCTTTTGCGAAGGACAAGAGGATTTTTAAGTTTTCTGGAAGAATTGTTCTTTGTAGGACTCACTGCTTGGTCATGCTGGACCCTTTTTTTTACAGTGCGCCACTACGAAGTGGTTTATTTAATTCATGAGAAGCATGGAGAGGAGGTTGGGAGTGTGAACGAGAAAGTTCAAGGTGAATTGTACTATCATCATTCTATACCTGTATTTTTTCAAAACAAAGTAATGCATGTTGAGGACCCTCGCTGTGGGGATTAATGTCCCTTCATTAGAAATGTAACATTTTTGTCTGGTCTTGCCCAAAGACAGATTCATGGTGTGAAAAGATTTTACAGCTTTATCTCGTAGAAGAATTCAATGTTAAGGCAGTGCTTGCAATGATCTATAAGAGCAACTTTACATTTTTATGTCACATTTTAATTAGCAACCTTAACAAATTGGAAATGCTTAAAATATTTTGTTAAGTTGATTGCATTTAATGTAGATTCTTGTAGAACTTAACTAGAAGTTATATCTCCTTTAACCTGCCTTGAGTTTTCTCATACCTTTTGAAATGCATCCTGCAGACTTTCTAAGGGGGAAGAAAGGCAGAATATGGAGATTGAATGATTGGGGACTTCGGAGACTGGCATACAAGATACAGAAAGCAACCAATGCCCACTACATTTTAATGAACTTTGAGTTGGAAGCTAGATGGATCAATGATTTTAAGACCATGTTAGACAAAGATGAGAGAGTAATTCGGCATCTGGTGATTAAGAGGGACAAAGCAATCACGGAAGATTGTCCTCCTCCACTTGAGTGGCACACTCTTCGTGCTGGTGCAGATGATTATGACGAAGAAGAAGATGATGCAGATTTTGATGATGTCTATGAAGATGATGGAGATTGGGATGACGAGGAAGATGTGGATACCTATGAAGAAGATGATGCCATTACTGAAGACGGTATTATTGCTGAGAACAAGGATGATGATACAGAAGATTGGACAGCTAGTGTAGGTAACACAGAAAGAAAAGACCGCAAAGCTGAAAAGATAGCTAGGTAATGTGGTTTCCAAGCAAAATTCTGCATTCTTTTGGGCAGTAATCTGGGAGGATTACATAAATGTAGCTCTCTGCAATTTTGTGGGACTATTCGATGTTAACTTATATCTATCTTAACATTACCAATTCCCATTAAAAAAAAAAATTGCAAATTGTGTTTGATCCTCAGTAATCAGTATCATTAATCACCCAGGAAATTTTATGGGACTATTTGTCTCATGTTTCTCTGACAGTAATGTAAAATGTTGGCTACTATTCAATCACTTTTGTTCGATCTGAAAGGAAAATTGAGTAACAAAATCAACATGAACTGATAATAAAAGATCTGGGAGGCTTGGGAAAAATCATGCCTCCGTGGAGAACCAATCAATCGGTGCAGTAGGAATGTCACACAATTGTTGCCTCTAACATACAACAGTCTAAAAGACACTATAATTCTATACAAACTATTGAGTAATACCGCCATTCTTTGTCAGGTAAACGTACTGGCGTAACGTAATGCAAGAGAAGAAAAACAGGCTCCTTGTATGACTTGGGACTCGTATATGCACTTAATTTTTCATTTTTTTGGACGATCGAGTGTCCTTGGATTAGTTTTCATGCGTCTCAACACTAGTCTCCTTCTGGGCAATATTAAGCACACTCTCTTACCTGGCATGATATATTTAAAAAAATTAATTTATTAGTGTTTATATATGCAGTTAATATATAGAGCAAGCTGATACCTTGCCATTAGAATTAATAAGGTTAGACCATATAACGGATAAAAGCTGCTTAAATAAGCTTTAAATGCCTAAACCAATATAATACTCTCTCCATTTCATAATAATAGTTGTTTTTGTTACTTTTTCTGTATGCATATTAAGAATTTAAGGAAAACTTTTTTTTTTTTTTTTTTTTTACCTCTAGAAAGAAATAAAGATACAAAAGGAAAATTTTAATGGTAGAATTGAACTCAAATTAATGTGCCAGACCTATCTGTTAAAGATATGCCATGAATGACGTGCAGATTATCAATGTCCATGAACAATGCAGAACCGACACCTTCAAACACTCCTATTTAATCTTGTTTATTTGAATTAGTAACTGCTGAGATCAACTCCCAGGTTGCAATTTTGTATGTTTGACCAAGCACCCTCCTTCAGCCACATGGCATCATTCCCACGCACGACTGCCTATATATGAAGCACCATCCTTACTTGGACATCCATCAGTAGCACAGTCAAGATCCATGGCGCAATCCATCACCTTCATTACTGCTTCATTAGTCATCTTCCTCTTTCCCTGCTCATTTTCTGTGAAGACAATCCCTGCATCTGATTTGGATTTGATAGAGTTTCCTCTGAACTTAGAGTACTTAGAGGCTGAGTTCTTCTTGTATGGTTCTCTGGGTCATGGTTTGGACACAGTTGCTCCAAACTTAACCATGGGAGGTCCACCTCCAATTGGAGCCAGAAGGGCCAATCTTGATCCTTTGATCAGAGATGTAATCATCCAATTTGGTCTTCAAGAAGTTGGGCACTTGAGGTACTGTCTCCTGTCTCCAACCATATTATTTCAATTCAAAATCCCTGAATTTCTGTTACACATGATAATGTTAGGATGAATTCTAATATGACCGCAGAGCAATTAAGAAAGCAGTGAAAGGATTTCCAAGGCCACTATTGGATTTGAGTGCAGAATCATTTGCAAAAGTAATTAATAGTGCATTTGGGAGACCATTGGTGCCACCTTTTGACCCTTATGCCAATAGTATCAACTACTTGATTGCATCCTACCTGATTCCCTACGTTGGACTCACTGGATATGTTGGGGCTAACCCCAAACTCCAAGGTTCTGCTTCAAGAAGGGTAAGTCCAAATTCAGAGTAAAGTGATGCATAAACATAGTGTTTCTTTAAACAAGTAGAATTCCTAAGAAACCATGTGCAGTTGATTATTGTGTGCTTTTGAACTTTTCAGCTGGTTGCAGGACTTTTGGGGGTGGAATCTGGGCAAGATGCAGTTATCCGAGGATTGTTGTATGAGCGGGCAGTGCAGAAGGTGAGTCCATATGGTATAACTGTGGCAGAGTTCACAAATCGAATTTCATGGCTGAGGAATTCGCTAGGACATGGTAGACGAAAAGACGAAGGCCTTATTGTACCTGAAAAACTGGGTGCTGAGGGTAAAATCAGGGGCAATGTGCTAGCTGGAAATGAGTACTCACTTTCATATGACAGAACCCCAGAACAGATTCTGATGATTGTGTATGGAACCGGGGACAAGGGAGTACCTGGAGGTTTCTACCCAAAGGGAGCCAATGGTCGTATTGCTAGATCTTACCTACACAGGAGCTAAATTTAACCAAACTACAAGCATCTTTGTGTATGACTAACCATGTATCAACGCAGCATGCATTAATAATACGTCTTGTTAGGTCTCTTACCTTTTTCTGTTTCCGGTTTTGAATGAACTATGATCTCGAGGAGAATACATAACAAAGATAGAGGCAACACAAGGTTCTGCGGCAAGTGGCCACCAGCCTACACAGAAAAAAGCATAGAATGATCAAGTCTAACACCTGCAATTGCATTAATCAACCTTTGAGCAGAAGCCATCAAATCCTCATTTGAAAAAAAAAAAAAAAAAAAAAAAAAAAAACCAACAACAACCACTTTAAACTTCACCATACCAGATTAACATTGTGCTGCTAGTATTTGCCTTGGAAAGATTCATCTGTAGTTTAGCAAAGAGATAACCTGGAAATGCTATAAACAATTGTAACAGCAACTGACCGCTTCAGCAGCCAGACCAGGCAAAAATGCCAATGATATTATTCAGTCAAGAAACTAGTTACAAAACCTGCAAGTCAGAAAATGTGGGAAATTACTCCTGCGAGATGTTCATATATATATATATATATATATATATCAAACATCTTTGTAGCTAAGTTTAGCAGTGCATTTATAATTTAAGTAGGAAAGCATGCCAAAGCCATCCAACATAAAATAGTCTTGAGTTAGGAATGTTCTATCTAAGAACCTTTCAAATGGCTTCTGAGAATGCAAGTTGCTGCTTGAATTCAAACATGATGGATCCCCAGTTGCCACGAACCCAGTGATCAAAATGCACATGGTTGTCCTATCAGCCTTCTCAAGGATTTGCATGCATAGCAGTTTGATTAACAATATAAATAATCATCAAAATCTCAAAAACCCATGGTCAACAGTAGTATCTGTTAGATTTTCATCAACAGGTGGGTAATCCATCTATTTAGAGAACAGAGATTCTTTAACAATTAAGATCATGTTCATCCATTGGCCAGGATA